TCCGGAAGACTTCCGGAGTGGATTTTGGGCTTTCTAGAAGGGCTTTTTCGCTCCAAACTTCACTGATAGATGAGTTGGGGGGTCCGCCATCTCAAGGTTGTAAAATTCCAGAACCCACCATTTTGAAGGGACGCTGCCTTTAAGGAGATGAGAGGAGGGAACATCGGATCTGCGACTGTTTTTGAAAAAAACAGGAAAGTGTTATATACCTCCTCAGCAATCTTTGACTCATTAAAAAGTCGCGCTTGATTAATCACAGGTATGGGCATTGCTTCATTCCAGCATTTTACCCATGTATTATCCGGAAGTTGCATTCGTTCCGATAAACATTCTAAAACATAATGATTTGAGGTAAAAAGCATAAGTGGACAGTCACGCTAACGTACCTTCTTCCTCACTCCAATCCTTAGGTGAATGCCATCTTATGAAATCTTCCAAGCAGCACTTCGGATTCGCTGCCTAAAAAGATCCTGATGTTCCATAAAAGAAGGAAAAACTTTGGGTGAGATATACCTTGAAAGCTTGCATATCGCTGCAAAGCACATCAAGCTGAGCTCGAATCCTAGAATCTCCATCATCCAAGGAGGAGAGATACCTCGTGTACTCATCAAGCATATCTTCAGTCATGGGACTGCGATCCTAAGAATGCTTCTGGTTACCAGAAGGTCAACGGTTTTGACATATTGGTTTGATTTACCTGAGTAATGGGAACATAGAGTAACGTATCGGGATGGTGCAACAACCGCAATTCGCCAAATGGATGCAGGCGACCAGTTGGTTCCATATCCTGAAAAATCGAATACTGATACAAATACTTTGACCAGCGAGATGTACCTCTATACTCTTAGCACTCTTGGTATTGTCGTCAGACGTGCTCTCAGTGACAGTATCGGTCCTTTCACTTTCGTTTGTGGAATTCAAATCCTCAGACTGGTCAGATTGTGCATCGTAGAACTCATCTAAGGATACTAAATCGACTTTTCACCAGATTTTAATAAATGGCGGTGGCGAATATTTCTTTGACGGTGTGCCCATTTATGAATGCGCGATGACAACAGAACAATGCAGAAAGCGCGGCTGGGTCAAAAGGAATTCAAATCGCACTGCCATATTTGTAGCTTTATATGGGATAGATGGGATGCTTTGGCAATCAAAATAGGAATTTCGACATTTTCTGTATGAAGTATAATAAATCCTTTATTGAGTTCTCAAAAAAAAGTATCATAGCCACACCCCCATTTTTTACATACAAAAAAAAAGGATGACGTTGAATCACACACCCAATCTGACAGGACGACTAACTCGAAAAATAATTACTGCACAGACCATTTCAAGCACTCACCTCCACCGAAATCTTTCGTGTTGTCGTAAAGTTCATGACGTTTTCGTTTTGCAGAGATGCAACATTGGAGCATCTCCAGTTTTTGATGCAAGAGGCAATGAGACAGATTGGGCTGGGTAATCTCACTCATTCTGAAATTGAGAAACATTTTACTGATGGCGCAATCTCGAAACGGTAAGGTAATCTTACCCTGGTAAGTTTTTGGTGCTGTCGTAGTATGTACGGAGCCTTTTTACAAATTTGTACCAAACTTGTGCAAATGCATATGGACCATAAATGTAGTCTAGAGACGCATTGGTAAAAGCCATAGCGAACCGCCGCGTTATGGAATCAGGAGGAGTCCATTTGATCTGTCGAAGCTTGGCCTGGAAATCGCAATGTAAGAGGGTAAAGGCTATTCTAGCTATCCTAGAGGGATCACATGAATTGGGAGAACGATGACTAGCAGTTACAGGTAATGTAAATCGTTACGATACGGATATCTGAAAGATGTTTGCATCTGTAGCCTGATTACGGACAAACATGGTATGGATTATAGGCTGGACTTAGCTAGTCCAGCATTCTCAAGTAAACCAATGCTTTGTATTCCGTTGTTTGCATGTAATACCTTCGCAAAGTGTTGGAATAACGGATAATTGTGGAAGAAATGAAAGTAAGAATACAAGCGTCCACGCGAACTTGTTAGCTATGCTGAATCCGACATTCCACATTGGAGAGCGCGAAAACGGCGAAAAAAGGTTTCAAAACAGCAGGGAATCAGTAGGTGGGCGGAGTCTTCCCCACTACTAATTCACGCTCCCAGCTTCTGGAATCTTCTCAATTTGGCTAACCCTTAACATCTCCACCGGCTAAATGCGAATGGGTCATTTGGAATCGGAACCAAGAAAATGGCTCCGAAAGCTGGGAATATAAACTCACAGTAGGGAAGATCCCGCCCATTTGGTTTCCCTTTTCTGTTAGAGCTTTTTGCCGTTGTTGCGCTCACCAGTAAATCGGATTCAACATAGTCAATAGGCGCGGGTAAGCACAAAATCTCAAAATGACTTTTACTCGGACACTGCCTTCAAAGTACCACAAAAACTGGCGAACTTTCCCAAAATACGCAATGTACGCTAGCAAAGCAGACCCAAGGAAAGAGCTTGAGACAACCCAGACTATACGATTAGCGTGCAAATTGCGTGTTGCATATTCAGCATGCATCATCAACTAAAGTTAAAATACATTTCAACACGGAACTTAGTTGATCGCATTAGTCACTTGCATTTCGTGATTATGCTTCGTGAAACATAAAAGAACTTGGCATGCCAGTACTTGTTATTCTGAACCTACATTTACTTTTGAACTGCTGCTTTGAATAGTTTCAACGAACTTTGAAAGTTCTTTTCGCGACTGAACATTTTGAAGGGCAGGTGCCTTAACGAGAATCACTAAGATTACAAATTCTTACGACAGCATCAGCAATAGAAGGAATAACCAACCGGGCTGCTTCGCACAGCACCACCAGGAATGGTAAGCAAAGGTTGACTAGTTCTTCCCGTATTGGGATCCTCTTCACTGTTTTCCACATCGAAGATTTTATCCATACATCGTTTCATAACGGACTAAAACGAGTGATGGTAACTTTAAAAAAGTTTACCAGTATACTTACCTTAGCAATAGGCATTGGTACCTCGTCGAGAGGAAGTGCACCGGGATTTGTGATTGATACGTTCGGTGCTCCAGCAAATCGTATATCGTCGATTCCACCACCGGTAAGCTGACCGAATGCCTCTTGAAACACATAGGGTGAATGCAAGCCAAGCAA